TCTAGCGATGTTAGGCAATCCAGCACAACGTTCTGAAAATTAACAAAACAGTGAACAAAAATCTTTCCATAACAGGGGATGACTATGTAGTAAGAATTATGAAATATTGCCATCAGAGCTAGGTAGGAACATACAAACGACGCATTTACGCTGAAAAGAGAAATTCTATCGCCATTCTCAAATGACAATGCGAAATGGTTCTAATTCAAATGTCATATTCGTCAGTCAAAAAGCGCCTACCATCGGAGCCATTTCCACCAACAATACTCGAGTGAGAGATTCGACGATAGTGCGGGCTTGAACAGGCTGGATTTTATCCGGAGGCAGAGCAGAGATGAATTTCGGTAAAACCGAAATAACCTCGCGACGTGCTTTCTGACTTTCTGAGAGAGCCACAAGAAAGACAGGGAGAAACTGAAATTGGAAAGAAAAAGTTGCGAGTCTTAGTTTTGGCTTTTGCCAACAACATCTATGATAAACAACAATTTTCATTGTCAATTGTCCTGAATATTATTGCTGCAAGGAGTAATACAATACCAAAGGGAAAGCATACGTCGCACACTGCCCCGTTTACGTTTATAATGTTCAAAATCGGTCAAAAAATCTAATGAAACAAGTTTGGAATTGTCGCTTCTGGGAGACGAAGAAAATGGAACCAGATCACTCAATCTTCAGTACATAGTGTGAAGCCTTGTGAACATCAGCCCTAACCACCGCTGCTAGTTCATTATAATCCATAATCTCTTCTCAGATCATATTCACATCAGCTACTTTAAGCCCCAAATCGACCCGAATATGGGCACAATGTAATTTCTTTGTGATGCATCTTGACGTCCAACTTCAATTCAGATTTGTTGTTATGACTTTTGATCATTCACCGCATATACCTCAACTACACCTACTGTTAATACTTTGGAGCAGACTTCTGGTTTGGAGTAGCGCTAGGTCTGATGAAATTTCACCTTTTACGTTTCTGATTTGAAACAGCGCCGAGCCTAATAGAATTTCACCTTTTACATGTTTTACAAATCTTCATGATTGATATCTCTCAGACCACCCAAGATACATTGAAACAGGTTCACCTTTTATAAATACCAAAACCAGAGGCAAGCGTCATACTCTTGAACACTTGAACGTACATCAAGACTTTGATGGCTATCCCCTCCCAAAGCCCATTACCGGCTTTTGTCATGTATTCCTATTGCCCCTGCCCATATCACAACCTATGCGAGACATGCAAAATTCAAGGCACCACTGTCAAGCAAGGAATGCAATGAATTTAGAAGACTATTCACGCCATTTCGAGTGCCCTCGTGATCAATTTCCAACGTCGTTAATGTTTTCTTAACCCTGAGGCTCTACGAAGCTCATTTATATATACCCATGTGAGACCTTGCTCGATTCAGACCTTTTTGCATCTGAACAATTGGTATTCGAACTCAGTTTCCCCTTGGCTCTTCATTTTCGTAAATTTCGATGTTTAGAGGTTGGAGCGAACGAGCTTGTGGTCTTGCGCTTACATTCACAACATGTAACATACACTAGCGAGTAGATGACCTGGCCAGCGAGGTGAAACGAAAACAAAGCGGGTTCACTTTCTTCTGGTAACGGTCGATCTCACATTGTTAGGAAAATACAAGAAAGTTGAAAAGTTTTGGGTTCACAATTCCACCTCTACAGCTCTTACATTGTGACAACGAATTACGACCTCTTTCTCTAGCCCGATTTCCAGACGAAAATTTCACGTCAAAACAAAATGGACATTAAGTCTTTTTCTTTGACAAGATGACAATAGAATTTTACAGAAAAACCAAAAATCAAAAACCACCCATATTTTAAAAACTCAGGTCATTTCGTTCTATTATACATTGAGATTACATTGTTACATTAAGCTCTGGATGCACTCGTGCCCATCTATTTAATTTTCAGCTCGTACATGAGCTAACTAAGCTTGTCCTAGAAATAACAATTGATTTCATCAAAACAGGTGCTGAGTACTTCAGGTGATTCAAAGAGTATAGGGTATTCTGACAGGTTTGTGACAAGCGGGAGAAAGAAGCATACCTCGTCAAGTTGTTGTTCAAGTGAGTGATGCCGGATTGATGGTCCCAGAATAGATGGGAGTAATCGCATCAGATGCTTCTTACCAGCTGTAAATATAAACATGAATGTTGGAAAAGAGTCTCAAGGGCTTGAGAAAGAACGTGCCAAAAATCGAGCTAACTGCTCAACCACTATAGATTTAGAAGGATTATGCTCACTTATGACTATGCTAAATGGCTTAAAGCCAGACGCCAAGCTCCCCGATAGGCTTCGAGACCAAAACTCAGCGCTTTTCTAGATGTTGGAAATTCCGAGGAATCCACAACTCGAGCATTGGCTTAATGCAAAAGCAGACCATGCTTGTGCCGTTCATTTAGCAAGATCGCTTGACTTGATATGCCGTACCATGTGTACCATCGTGGTGAGTACAATAACAAGCAATCAGTGTTATTCTATTCACCAAGATAGGGGTAACGGAACTTCTCCCCTATCGCGGCATTCTCCCTTGCGGCATGCGGCAAATGTCACTGCAATTACCGTACTCACCTCGCCTCCCGAAAATCGATAGGACGCGATATTTTTCCTTGACTGGCTTGCTTTTTCATTGGATTTTATCGTTTTTTCTTCTGTTTCTTTTTAGTTTTCATGTTTATTAGACTTGATTAATTAAAATGACTCCCCTTATATAAACGACGATCAATACCGCATTGAAATTGAAGGGAGCAACCAGCCAATTCAAATGATTAAAGGACTCCCTACTTCACAAATTGCGCGCTCCAATCTTTCATCGCAATCCTGCGATAGGCGGCGGGTGCGGCGTGTGCGACGCCGTGTTAGGGGAGAAGTTCCCGGACCCACCAAGATAGTACCTACAAACATGGGCTCCACAACGTTGGATGACCATTACACTCTTTCCATAATACAGCTGCAACAACATTGAACGTATGTCCAGCAATGATTTTGGGGAAACTGCGTAGTGTAAAACCTCAAAGTTAGGAGAGGCCGAAAGTTTGGAAGTTTCCCGTATTAGATTGAGGGCTACTAGTTGCATATGGATTCGACTTTCACAGAGATGAAACAAAACATTTAAAATACTCACGTAGAGTATTTTTTAGAACAGATCACATGCGATCTATCTCAAAACCCTAACAACCCCAGGAAGCAAAGAGAACTGATCTTAATATTCACTTGAAACTTATTTTTATTGATTTGTTGAAGAAAGAAATGAGTTGATGTTGACATCTTCTCGAAAGCTGGACCGTAGATCGGTCAGAACACTAGTATTATGAACTGTAGAATCAAACTTCACCTTTTGAACCACGTGTGGAACTTTTGAGCTGCTTTCAAATCATAATGACAGAGCGTTCAATGCACACCAACCGAATTTGATACAGATAGAAGTCTGTCTTGAATTTGACGTATGAATTTCCTCCAATTGGAATGTCCTAGATTTTCCCAACAATCTCTTCAATGAAAGATAACTCATCGGTTTGTTGCGTTGCGAAGTACCGCTAGTTACCGAAGTTCCTGCACGCTGATATACTGATATCTTTTTTTCTTGGCGAACGTTTCCATGCATGCGTGTTATGTTAGTTTGCGGGCGACTTTGTCATCCTACACATCGCTTCAGCCAGAAGCTCACAAAACAACGGCCTAGAAGCACTTTAGAGTCGATTTGGGGGCCTCCTGTGGATAAGCTCCCTTTCACTCTGAGATAGCTTGGATAAATGCTCGGAGCCTGCCCAATAACTGCGCTGAACTTTGGCAAGCTTTTCGTATGCTAACATAAGCCAAATCGTAATATGAATGGGGTCAAACTCTGAAGCCGAGAGAGCGTAGGATACGACCGATCCGGGGCGGCTACCAAAAGCTTGGGACCATGACAGATCGAAAAATAACTTGACGATCTGCATTTTAAATGAAAGAGCGCTTGAATCTGAAGTGTATAGAGAAGATCTGATGATCTGCGAGCCGTGAAGAACAAGTAAGTTGTCACCGAACTGGCCGAGACGAGAAAGCATCGTTCGGTGCATGTCGTTTTCAAGATTCGGGAGAATTTTTCCTGATTAGTTGATAACAGAATTAACGGAATTTTATACAATAATGCTGCGCCATTTTTTCTTGGTGCAATTACCGATACTTACATATGTGTCTTTCAATGGAAAACATAATGACAGACCTTCATCCGCAGATTTGACAGCAGTTACATAGATTCTGCTCAACTGACTGGTCACCCTGAAATAAATTGAAGTGGATGAAAAGCTCGAGCGAGCAATGCTTAAGGAATGTCGAAATAAGCTTTTCATTCAAAGTTAATCAACTAATCTTCGATAACCCATCGTAACCTATCCACCTATATACAGTAAAAGAAATGCAATGCGCAGCTCTCGATTCTTAGATCAGGCTTTTTTTGCAAAACCACATGAAGTCACAAAACGTCAGCTTTACGAGATGACCCGACGTCCCCTGTGTGAATGCGGTAAACGACCCCAGGTTAAGGGGATCGCGAAATGTATACATTTGCTTCAAGTACGAAATCAAAGGCATGCATCGACGCTAGCATTTTCTGTATCCTTGAAACTTTAGGTCCTTTCTTCCTGCCACCTATTATTATCCCGTCTATCTATGTATATATACATACTTTTTTCATAAATGTTCTTAACTTCGAAAGTTTATCCTCTTCAGTTTAGTTTTCTTTCATTGCCAGCATCACAAAACTTTAGCTCTAGGAACTCGTAAAAAAGCATGAAGCCTTTCGATTGTCGTTAGAAATCATCGAATTGTCGAGCAAAGGTGAGTTTTGACTACACTAACACAAAACAAAAGATTGATCGCACCAAGCTCCCATGGTTATGATACGGAAACTAATGGACATCTTCTGTAGTCTCTTGAAGATTACTCCAAGCAGAGCGCAAGTGAGATCATCAAAGCTGTTGTGAAAAGGAATATGATCCAATCATTAGAAGAATAAAAAAATATATATATACAGGGTGTTCTAAAATTATGGGCTCCAAAATTCAGAAACTTCTTAGGTAGAAGTAATCCATCTCATTCACTTCACCCGCTATCAAATAGTTGCATAAGAAGGTTCCTCGCAATATGCATGGTTACTGAAGTGAAACTCCTAATATCTTCTGGATAGCCAAGGCTCATTCAATGCCACTTGCAATCACTAGCATGCGAGAGGCGAAAGGCCGTTACGGAACTTGTGTTTATTTATTTTAGTGTAACTCTTCATTGTTTGATTTGATTAGCAGAATTTTGAAGATTCTTCATGAAAAACAGCAATAAAAAACCTTTGTCTCCATAAGAACGTAGTGTGGAAAAGACAACGTTCAGGATTGTTCGCAGGGCTATCAAAGTCGAGTAGATCCTTGAGTTTATCATGAAGCTCCTCTCTATTAGCTACGCTTTCACAATAAAAACGGGCGAGCAGCTAAATTTGGAACTAAACAGAATAAATAAGAACAGGAGAGGAAATGTTTTGATTTCACCATAACGAATGATCAGGCCAAGGAGTTTTAGTAGTTTTACCTCTTCAAAAAGCGCGAGGCCTTCTTTTTTTCCACATAGCAGCAGTCCCTTTGCTAACGCACAGTCGATGCTTAAATGAAGTTTACTACAAACGAAGCAGGAGTCATCCTAGAAAGTAAAGAGCATAGCAGTAAGGCGTGAATCGCTTACTCGTAGGGAACCTCTGTTTTCAATGAGAGCACGCCACCAACGTCTTTCTCGTGATTGGCAATGCCTGTACATAAACGGCACGCAGATTGAACTCCACAGACAGGCAACGCCAAAACGCGCCTCATCACAACTGGGTCCTGAAATTAAAACTGATTAGACTCTCCGATTATGGGGTTCAAACCCGAATAGGTTTGCAATGGATTATCAGATTGAAAAAANAAAAAAGCCACAGCATTAATTTTATATGCACCCTAGGAACAGTAGCAGGATCCAATTTACCATGAAGAAAGCTTTTTGTTGATCACTGTTTTCACCGATTGTACATATACAGTCCAAGACTCTCTTGAAAGGGGTGTGGTGCAGCAGGAACGAAATTGTCGCGTCGCGACATGAGACGTCGCGCGCGAAGGAATGTAGCAGAATGCAGCAGCAAGTAGGAAAATCAGGAACAAAAGAACTGACAGTAGGATCATGCTAGAAGTAAGAATCGCATAGCGATCTGGCTGTATGAAGAACGCTAGAACTGTTATAACGCTACAAAGCAGCCACTTATAAGGCATTGTTCTCTGATACCCCTTCCTATGAAAAAAATCCTTCATACCTGTGACTGAAGAATGAAAAGGCAGAACATGTCCAATAGTTGAGGAGATTCCAAGGTACTGACAATTTTCTCAGTAAGCACTGCATGACTTTCTTTATTCATAAGTAGTCCAAGAGATTGCATAGTTTCAGCAAAAGTACCAACCACTTCATTCGAAGGCGAGACCATCTGCAAATAAGAAAATTTGCTCGTTTTTGATTTGCACACCAGCCACAAGTGCTCCAGTCCTATTTGAGTTTATATCTGGGGCAATTGCAGCAGTTCAAACTAGTCGGTTGAGCCGGATTGAAATCGAAATAAAGTAAAGGATAAAGTTTTTGGCGTTAATCAATCCCGTCTGAGGGATGCGCCCCCGCACTCGACTTCCATTCAGAATCGTAGTGGCGTAATGAGAGCGAATGTGGCCTATACAATGAGTTGCGGTGGCCAGCCGATGTACAAGTCAGTGCTTTTATCCTCCCAGACAAGTCTGGTACCAATTCACCGACCCCGAGGGATGGAAGGATTGGTTGGCCTAGGCGGGCATCGATCTGGGATTTGAACCCCTGACCGTGCGTGTGATACAGTGCACCACTTGCCACTACACCACCTCCGCCCTTTGAAATCGAAATAAAAATAGAAATTTTCTGGATTATTGCTTATGATCATGAATTATCTCTCCACTGTATGTTACAAAAATTATGGTTTCCTACTCATTTTGAACATAAGCAGAGAAAATAATCCCGAGCTTATTCAGCTTTTCGAGCTTCATTACGACTCAAAATCCTTTTTCAGTTTTTAAAATGCAAAGTTTCAGAGGATTGACGGTCTTTCCGCCATGATACGAGTTGGTTCAGTTTAAAAACTACTTCAACCATGGCCGTCATTGCAAAAATATAAAACGGATCGTTGCTGGAAAATTGAGCTTTCCGCAAGCGTAGACGACGGAGTCTTATCGTGTTTCAAATTGGATTATTAGTTCACGTTGATAAATCCTAGCGACTCACTTAGGTTAGCCGGATATAGAAAAGACGACCATTCTTTGGGGTGATTCGAAAAAGCGTTAGGATTTTAGCCTCAAGGAAATCGTGCGTGCGAGAAGGGGACCGCAAACATGTATCCTATCCTGCGAATTGCACCCTCTCAGTCTTTCCAACCCATTCTAATGATTAAGTGAACACTGCCATCTCCCTCAAATGGAGCTCATGAATATACAAAATATTAAATGGAATGTAGAAACCTTGTATGCTACTGATCGAAAGTGATCAACGAGGCGAGGAAGCAAAGTAGGAGTCACTGCGGACAGTCTCGTTGCCATCTGGAGGTAGACGTTGAACACTTCATAACTCGGGTCTGAACGTAGAATGGATTGAGTTGCGGTTTAAATTTTGGGTGGTTGATTTATGGCATTGCGATAGCCGTAATATTTATTTGAAGCCATTTCAAGCATCAAATATTAGTTTGGAGCCCCTTCGTAAGGCCCGATCCTATCGAAATATTCAGAGCATCTTCTGTTATATTGGTTGGTACACCGCAGTCTGAATTGAGCTTACAATTAGTTACTCACTGCAACAGCGAAGTCAGGGGGTTAGAGACGAAGTTGCGTGTGAGGGTGGGAGGAAATCTATGTTTCCTTCGGATTCTTCGAGGTGAACCGAAGGGTTATAATGCAATTATAATAGTGCGGTGTAATATAATAGTAATTGGGCTTTGTACATGAACGCGTCACAACAACGAAGATCAATTTTTTGACGTGAGATCCACTCCTCAAAAATGTGACTATAGAATGTGGTGAGTTATGAGCTGATGCAAAAAGTTCGGGAAGGCTCCGTTCACCCCGAATGAGTGACCTTTGTCTCATTCTCTGACCCACTTCGAAATATTATCATGTATCCTAGGCTTTTCTGAAACCAGATTATGAAGTTACTCTCATTACACCGCCTATTCCAGAGCATGTTTAGCCCCCCTGTAAACAGGAGTCTTTTGAATCAAATGTGCTCTGCTGATCTTGCTTGAGGCCCCACCCGATCCCAAGTTTGAAATGATCTCTTCAGGTGCCTCTGCGGATAACATAGGACTTCGGGCCAGTTAAGCAGAATCGATTTTTTTATATACCAGTCGGATGACCCGGCCGGCGCCAGACTTTCCTCCTTCGTGTGTTAAAGTTGGCCCCCCGCCTACTTTGTTCTGAATGAACAGCTCTTGATTTCCAGCAGAACACATACACCGACCCACTTCGTACGACAGAGGAAGAGGAGGATTGACGGTAATTATTTTTAAATGGTAATGACTCCAAGCGGGTATTTCTGGCTTACTTATGAACAGAAGCGACAAAAACGATGATTGAACCCCTTTTTCGGGAAAATCGTCAACACCATTGTACTTTTTCCTCCACCTTTTTTCCCTTACTTCCCTCTTCCTAACCCCACGGAAATGGGAAGAGAGTACACGAGAGGAGGTGATGAGTGTCGGGGTTGATCGTTATGAAGGGGAAGGTTCGAATCCCCAGTGGAAGGATACAGTAGTGGGCCTCAGGAGAAGTACCGTCACCCCAATACAATTCGCCTTTGTCAACCATGCCATGGATAAGTCGGAGAACTGTGGTATCTGATTGGCTAGTCACGCCTTGGAGTGCCCTTAATCAGTCACCCACGGCTTCCAGCGTAGACTAGTTAACGCGTTTGTTTTGAAAGACATCAATATGGTATCTGCATGACTCACATTCAGACATGAAGCGCATAATATCTGACTCCATTTCATCAAAGGAAGATTCATCATGAACGGCTGCACATATGAGAGAAAAACCGTTGAATTCCGCTGGAATTTGATTAATATTCATAGAATATCTCTCGATAGCAATTTACAGCTCTTGACATTTACATATATGTAATATGAATACACCTCCACTCGGGGTTACGACAAGGAACGAAATTGATAGAGCAGTTGGCACTAGCCTTTGGTCAAGTACTACAGCTAGACTGCAGTTCTTATGACAGTGCTAGCTGCACTGAAACCTTCAGGTCACACACCGTTGTTTTTGTTGTCACTCTGGCGTCCTAAATGGATCGCGTTCGAGAAGGATAGAGCAATTACCAGTGAGATTGTGCAGGTCTAGATGACCGAAAAGAAAGGAGGTAACATCGGCGAGGCTACCCTTGGGTATGGAGGCAGTGTTCAGAGCAACGCTTACCAATAAGCAGAATCTATGCTGCGTATCGTGAGCTTCCTCAAGATCAATTCATTACAAGGCCAATACTAGTCCATATACGCGTCTTCCATTGAGTGAATGAATGAATGAATGAATGAATGCAGTGAATGAATAATGAATAGCACACAAACTCACACCATTCGCACTCTTTCAAGACCGCACTGCGAACGAATACCCAATCCTTCTCGGCAAGTACACCTACTAGATGAAGAAAAGCAGTTCTGAAAGAGAAATCGACAGCAACGAGAAACATAAGAGCTAGAAGACGTACTGTACGGATGGAATCTTCAATGATTTCCGAGCGGCTTGGACCTCGCTTTTAATTTTTACATCGATATCTTCCGGGAGGCGATCAGCTTTCAGATAAACATGAAATTGAGCAGATTAGGACCGATTCTAGCGACTTTGAACTCGATAAAAAGAACTAAACGAACCGCTGAACAATCGTATAAAGTTGTAAGAGCTTCATTGGGGGCTGTTTCTCTTGCAATGTCCAAAGAAGCAAATAATGAAGTACCAAATTTAAGCAAGACTTCATCTGAAAATGGTACTTCTATGGTGTTGGAATTTGATGTCAAACAGCGAGTTAATCCAAGAACACGACCGCTTGGTTAATGTCATAAAAATTTCAAGGATAAAAGGCAGGAGACTTCTGAATAATACAGCAAACCGGTGAACTTTAAGCCCAAAGAGCGCTGAATACATTTTGAATAATCCGTTTAAGAAAAAAGTACCGAACTCGCCACTCAAGATGAAAGCATACCTATACTTCGTGGATGAAAAAAAGCCAAAGATACATATTGAGGCCCAGGAAGGTGCGCTCCTCATTCCTTGCTTGGAGGAATTTTCGATCTTTTACAGATTTAAAAATTGATATACCTAGAGTTTAGGTAGCTGTCAACTTCTCGTTTATTTATTACGTGGTCAGATATCGATGGCATCGAAACATTTGCTCTAATTTACTTCTGGTAGGATGATACTCCGCGAAGCTCGGTTTTTAATTCGTAAGGTTGTGGATGGATGACCTCCCCTTTCTCGAGAAGTTCGAGAAATCAATCGTTGCAACTATCTTGTATGTGCCAATCAACTAATTTTATACATACTGTGATAAATAAGTAACCGAAAGAACAATATCTACGTTTTCTGAACGCAACCCATCTCATCATTGGAGTTTTTTGCCAATCGCTACTTCTTATCTGTTTTTTAGGAATAGAGAAACTAAAATCCACTAGATCCTGAGCACACTACGTGACAAATTCGATCCAAAAAGCCTCATGGGGAACTGTTCCTACCAACCACATCCTTTGTCATGGATTTCCTTTGTCCAAGTAGTCAGGGCGAGTAGTCCCTCTTGTAAAATTTCCAGCCTGTTCGCCTTCACATTCACGACATCGCCTAGATTAAAGATTCAGAGGTGAGCCATCATGAGGACCAGTCAATCCATCATTACCCTGAACAAGCATAAGAATCCAAGGAATCACTCTGTCGTAGATCATGCTTCGAATGACTGGTCCTTCACTCGAAGCGCAACGCAACAAACTCAGTGCTCGTTGCGTGAGACCCATTTCTGCTTGAAGAACGAAGGGTTCAAGATCTGAAATACTCAACTATGTTATGCTTTCAATGAAATCAAAGGAATGCGCATACTTTCGATGAGTTGAGAGCCAAGTTTCAGGACCGAATCTGTGCTGCTTTTACTCAGTGCGCGTGTGATGGCCGCTAAAGCCCGAGGAACACATTCAGGTGTTTTGGCTGAAAATTCATAGAATTGTCGAAAAGTTATCATGCGCTGCGTATTATTCCGAGAACCTTCGTCTATCACAAACTATCTAGTTTCAACCACGAATCTGAAAGCTTGACGATAGGACAAAAAAAATATTTCTCACATTTAGGATCCAGTCCAACTGCACTGAGCCCTCCCAGAATCACCTCTAAATGTCCTACAATATCTTCTGGTTGAAAAACACGAGCAGCTTCAGCCTGAATGTTCTGATAAGCTCACTCACGCCAAGAGATAGGGAAAGAAAGATTATAAAAGTTCTGTTATTGACCAGTAATTCACAGGTGTCATGCTTTTGCTCAATAGTGCTGTCGTCGTCTGTGAATTTCTCCTCGATAAGCATATAACAAAAGGGACCGAAATGCGGGTGAGCTGTCAAACATTGTAAACATCCTTGAGCAAGTAGTTCCTGCGTGATTGGAGAGTCGCCTGAAGGCTGAAAAGCAGGAGCTTCAACGTAAAACAACGGTTGCGGTAGCCTACTAACATGTTGTTATGGTTGTTACGGTCAGTTACGATTCGTAATGACCGACACGCACCTCAACGTAAACTAAGCCATCATCATACCGTCAAACTGTATGTAAAAAAAGAACGAGTTGTCAGCGGAATATAGGAAAATCTAAGTAAACAAACACAAATCGAATTAAATGCTTCCTACAGTTTAGCTCCATAGAAAATGCAGCATACAAAAGTGATCTTGGAAATCGGTACAGTTATTGACGAGAAAGAGGTAGGAAGCATCTTTCACTTTTCATATTTTTTCAAGCGAGTACAAGGCTTATTGCAAAGTTTAGGCGAACAATTCTTACTGCTAGGAGTCACCAGATATAGCTAATAAGGGAAGAATACTAACCAATAAGTCGCAAGGCCATTCTAGTTGAGATCTATACCGTCGAAAGCGATTTTAGGCGCTTACCTCAAACCACCCTCCAAATTTGCTGAACAATCTTGCGAACAAATTTACAAAACGTCTTTCCCTGTATTGCACCACTGTTACATAAGCCAACTGAATAGTACTATATCGGGCAGCGACGAAGGGACGGATCCTCGAAGCGACAAGTTCGTCTTGCTGCCTCATAAAATGTGTTCCTAACGGTTGCGAAATGCTTTTACCCTTCATATTCACTATTTACAGCTCTCCTACAGGCTATTGCGAAGCGTAGACAGACAAAACTAGCTGGGTGGATTTTATGACCTCATCGCTAAATGTTACGATAGCGGCACAGAGATCCACACAAAATTGGGAAAATTCAAGTGGATCATTCGCATATCCTTTTTATTCGATTTCTTCCACTTATTTACAGTCGATGTGCTTATACCATGCAAATTACACCAAATTATGAGGAGCAAAAAAATCCAAATTTAGAAAAAAATGTGCTTGAAATGTGGTATATGTTGGCACAGCATATAAACGTCTCGAAGTGCGTGTGAAGCCAAACAAAGATCTTTACAAAAGAATCGATTAAAGCTTCTGCATTTTGTCTTTGTAGAAGTTTGTACTTCTAGCAAGTTAAGACCCAAACAGGAGAAGTAGCGAACCGCGTGGGTAAAGCCTCAAGAGGTGTTGACCCTAAAGCCCTAACAGTGGGCTCGAAGCGCTCTTGCGCCTAAGGCGCTTAATGTACTGCTCTGGAGGATCCCACCATTCAGTGGTTTACTGAGTGAGCAAAAGCTCTCAGACTTAGGTTGTTGACTGGGGTATTTTTTCAGAGTCAATTCGAATAACTATCGCTTTTTATAAACTGTTGGTGAATCGTTTTTGATTATCACGTGATTTGAAAAAAAAGTCGTCGAATATGGAGAGCAACCCTATGTTTTGTTGAGATTTCAACCATTATATCATTCGTTAGGACTTGCATCCTCTCTAGTCGCACCTGGATCACGTTACAAAACGAAATATGAATTCGGACATCTACTGCTGTGGAAATCACCCATCCAAAACTATTGAGGCTTTCCGACCACCCATTCCTTACTTTTTAGTGATAGATTCGTAATGAATTTATTTACCTGTTTGAATTCAACTGGGAAGTAACACGCAACCACTTCGAAGAGATCTTCCACAAGTGGTCCTGAAGTTGTATACATTACAGATGTTTTGAAATCGGCTTGATCTGCCTAATTGGCCTTGAGTACGAACAGACTGTCACGAAATCCAGAATCTTCCTTGTACTTGAAGAGCATAGGGGAACTTCATGGGAACTTTGATTCGGATATATCGGCCAGTATGGACGATGGTAAAGATCTTTATCAATTTGTTGCGTAGTTGAACGGGTTATCACAGCTCGACTTCCTTGAGTTGTAGGTTTCTTTTCTAGTTCTTGAAGAGAGCATAAAGATGTTTGATGAGACCTTCGTCTGAGTGGTAACTATCGATATCCACTGATCGGTACCGATTTGTTTCACACATGAGCGGCCGTTCTTCATACATAATAGTTCCCACTAGTTAAAGGCACAGTTCGCGATAATTCAATGGGCGGTGTCACGTCAGACTGTCTGACGTGACATCGAATGAGAGGCGGACACGTCATTGACATACCCGCCCATTGAATTATCGCGAACTGCGCCTTTAAGGAGGGTTGAAATTTTCAAAAAATTAAGCCATGACGGTAACCTCGCCACGGCGGAAATGATCGATATCGATCATCGGGTGATCAATACCGAATTTGGGCGTTATGACCGGATAGTCATATTTAGGCCTCTTCGGCCGATGAAGGTTGACATCTTCAGGCATGAACATGGAATTTTGCTCAATGATATTAACCGATATTGATCATTCGGTATCGATCAGTGCATTAATTACTTTGCAATTAACGGGGCATCCAGAACAGTTCCTTTCGAAGAAAAACCCGCGTTTGGATCCCGAGGACAATTTTTGAATGCACGACCAATGCCGGGTCAGATTGTACCAGTAGCGACCGACTAATCATTACTCCCTTTTTCAACCTAGAGAAATACAAGCGTGGGGGCAACACTGGTTCGATCTGTTTGGCATCCTCTCTCGCCCCCGTGTAGCTTAAGTGATACTAAAGTAACCGGTATCAACAGAAACGCTGACTAGTTGAGAAAGGTCTCTTTACTTGGACGAACAGACATTCATGTTGTCATCGCTCTCCAGTACTAGGAATACCCCCTCACTTTTAAACGAATTCGGAAGAGAAAAGAGAATAAATATAATGAAGTCTTACCAAGTTGAAAAGATCGCGCAACGATGACGAACATCCGGAAGACTTGAGGAAGGCATCGAGGATGCCGCTCACCTCCTACAGATTTGATGAAGGACAGAACAAAATCCGATCCCATAGCACTGAGTTCTGAAAAGGGTTCCAGTGTTGTTTGTTGTTTTAATTATAACTCAATCTCCAATAGGCAAAAGTTGCTCCGATCCACCTGCTGCTGTCACAAGAACCTAGCTTAGACAACATTTTCAAATGGATAGGCTACAAAAGCATTGCAATTGCGAGAGGGGAATTCTCACAAAAGATACAAACTATCAATCAAATTTCAGGGCATTATTTACTCGTTATTTACTTTCTTCTGCTGCACTCCCAAATAACTTAGTGGAAACCTTGCCCTTGCTCGACACTCAGACCATTTCATGGGACCGTTGTTTTATCCGAGTAGAAAGGCGTTTATGAGAACAGCGCATTCGGCTCCCTTCACTATTTTTCACCACTTCAAAAGAGCGCCTTGATAGATTTAATGAGAAAAGTTATATACTGCATTTATACCAGAAACAGATAACAGGTTTCGCCCACGGTAGTTTTCAGAATATAAACGTTGCTCACAGTAGCTACACAGAATTGGCAACTGGTACTCATTTCCAATTCGTATCAATTCACGTTTTATTAGGAAAATAACCTTTTAGACGGTGTAATAAGAGCCACTCCATAATGCCGAAGTGCATGAGCCGCTTCTCAAGATCCCAACCCTGCACGTTTCCATCTCTGGAATAGGCAATGAAGCGGCTTCTCTGAACTGAATGCTGGAATCATCAAAGGCACAGAACACTATAAAGATGGTTTCTGAGATTTGTCGTTGGTATGAAACCGAAACCACCGAGAATAGCATAAGTGACCCTGCCGGGTCAAAAAAAAAACGGCCCAGGTAGGACGAAATGAATGCCTTAAAATCGGCATAGCCGAGGTTCATACCCAAAGGTGAATGAGTGCTCACGGTTGTAGAAGCTGTAAAGGTTGCACCGTCTGCATCGGGACGCATGCAGTTGCACGCATGCAGTTTAATGTAACCAGATAGCTGTACACAGAGGCACACAAGTTTGGACAACTCGCTCAAATACCCCTTCCACGCAGATTTTGCCGTCACATTCTCGTCCAAACCCTAATTTTCCTTTTTTAAAGCTTTGTACATCTCAAAATACGCCATTTTCGCGTTCTCTTCAAAACTTCTTCAATGATCCAAACTATCGCTTCCTTAACTAGATACCCCAAAATTATCGTGAACTGCGCCTTAAGGTCACCATATAAATATTGGGTTATTGAAGAGTAAAGCTTCCGGTTCACTGGCACATTTTCTGTTCGCTTTAAAGTGGTTCACTTACTGAATAATAGAAACCACAAGGAAAAATTTCTCGTTCAACACCCACCAAAATAACAAGACTTTCGAACCTAATTACACCATGACAACATCAATCAAAACTCACTTGAACATGATCTGCACCAACGAAGTTTCGAAATCCATAGGGTGATTCTTGTTCCTAACAACCTATAACGAAAGCATTCATTCATTTCAATCGAGTTAACGAACATGCGATCTTGAATAGTTTGACAGACTGGTATAAAACTGTAACTGATATGAAACTAACTAAATGATGAATGCCTTGAACGGCGTAGGATGCTGCAGATGACTCCACTCTCCCGAGAAGGAAAGCCAATAGAACATCCACTGAAAAAGAGGAAATAAGCGCGTATATATGCAAAAATGAGCATGAAAAAGTTGTAGGAGTAGAAACTCCAAATTTCTCAGCAATGTTATGAAATTTTGATTTTATTCCTGAAAGCTCGATGAATTATTAGATTTCTGCCTCGACTTGTTGCCCAGCACTTCTGAAGCAACTGGCCAGTATAGCATTGAGCAATGAAGTCGATTGAAGAAACCCACAAAGAGCTATGGCGCTCACCAACCTTGTTCTTCGGAAAGAAAGTCGTCCGGGAACGAACAGATAAGATCCACTAACTCAGAAAACGCCGTATCCCTCACATCTTCTGACTGAGATAGTAGGAGTGGCCTAGTTTGGATAATTTTGTAAGAAAGGTACTAAATAAAAAATTTTCAAAACGAAAGGCAAACTATTCACCTCTTCATCTCGAAGAAATCGCTCAAAGCGAGAGATCTATCAATTACCAGTTGCTGGTAGACAGAGATATTGTCACCCTTTTCTGGGAGCATTTCTAAAAATAAACAATTTTACGACATATCAATAGCAACAAGATTTTTGCTCCGAGAGGTGAACGAAATGACTTTCAAAACAGACAAGAAAACGAAAAATGACAGAACATTAAGGAATTTCGCATAGATTTTCCTACTGAAG